TAGTGTTTTGTCGCAATGTATTTTTAATCATCCTTTTTAAATTGAATTTACTTGGTTCTATTCAACATGAGGATTTGAGATTTGATCCTAAAGAAATCAAATAATCTCGTAAATTTGTCCTCTTATCCCCCCCACCCCACCTTGGTGACTCAGGAGTATATATAATGCTAAAAACAGCGTTTCGATACTTGCTTTGGGCAGAATATAGATAATCCTCTGTGTAGCTTTCTGCTTAACAACAAATAAACGAACAAACTTGTCCTCTTATCAACTTAACGATCTGAAAATAAAGGGCATTAGTGCATGGGTTATCTTTAGGACTAAACATTCTGCAGTTTGATTCGTACTTGTCTTCCCATAAATCTTGGTTAAGACGCTTGTAGGATCCTCCTGCATTTTCTTAGACTGATGAAACTTTGGATACGGTGAAAACACGTATCTGTAATTTTACCCTGTCTTCTTCATTATAATTCTCAGAGGAAACCATATAACTTATGTCCAGAAGAGTATAAAGCTCTTATTGAGCTTCGACAGAAAAAAATACCGATTTCCTTATAAGAAAGCCATACAAAGGAAATACGAAACTAATTTTAAACAAAGGTGATTATATTAGTAAGAATAACTATATATTAGAAGGCATAAGAAAAACTAAAAAATAGACTAAAATGCAACACTTATAAGAGAAAAACAAAGTCAAAAGTGTTACAGTTAGAGAAAGAAAATAATTTTTCGGCCATAATCTCATGTTTAAATAATAGTTTGTCCTAAAATTCACAAACTGGATTTCTCTCCAACTTTAACAGTTTAAAATATTGTCATTTTTAATCACAAGTTTCAGGTTTTTAGTTTAAATGTCTTCAAAAATATATAGGTAAAGAATTTTCTGTGAAAAAGGTAATGTGTTGTATGACTTGCTTGCTCTGGTTCTGCGGAGGCTCTGTCATGAGATAGATGGTTGACTACTTATATAACATAACATAACTCTGGTAAATCATAGAACTCGTCGTGATGTCACATCTGACAACTTTCTGATACTTATTTCAGCCGAGGATGAATAACAAATAAGGATCTAAAAGAGGCTGATACTTGATAAGCCCAAGCCAATTTTAAATAAGCATAACTCGAAGATATCACTTCTTCTCTAATTGTAATAATGATTGTTTTACTATCATTTGTAAAACCATTAGTACTGTGGATAGAAGCAAAATATAAAATAACGAATTTTTTACAATTAATCGTTATGAAAATTTTTTTTATAACCCCTGATATAAAAGTAACGTTATTTCTAACTCTTAATACAGTTAATGCAGGCTACATAGTAGTTCTATATATATATATATTGATGCCGGGTTACATTAGTTTTAGTTTATTACTTTAATCGTCATATTTCCTTTTACATAATATGTATAATAAACGCATTTGTATTTTTATTGTAGTTAACTTGGTTGTATTTTAATTACAGTGTTGGTATTCTTGGTATTTATAGTACGACTACATTGTTTATTTAATTCGTAATTTGTTATTATTAATTATCATGTAACTTCACGAGCATTGGGTTTTTTGCTTTGTTGTCAGTACTGACCAGGTGCCCGACTCTGTAGCTGGTCAGTGGTATGTGCCATGGTAAATTATCTCAGTATTTCGAAAAACTATGTTAAATTAAAGTGAGTATAACTATTAAACAGTCGTTTAAAAGTTTCAGTTGTAATTGAGCGAGACAATTATTAAAGTATATTGTTTGTCGCCTAACCTAAAGTTCAAAGTATATTAAAGACTGAGAATACAAAGTACAGAAAGCGAGGGTTATAGTTGACCTCTGAATTTAAATCAAGGAGTTTGCTTGACTGTCAAAAAAAAAAAGAGAGTCAATATAAATATAACAACACTAGGCGTGTTCATGACTGAGTGTTTGTTTGTTTTAAGTTGAGCACAAAGTTACACAATGGGCTATCTGTGCTCTGCCCACCACGGATATCGAAACCCGGATTCTAGCGTTGTGAGTCCGCAGACATACCGCTGTGCTACTGGGGGCAAGCGTGTTCGTGACTGAATGTTTAATATACTATTTGGAAAATAATCATAGTATGTAAATTGTAATATTCATATTTTGTGATATGTTCGTATTTGTTCACCCGATAGTTTGTAACTATGTGATTCAAATAATCATAATAGAGTTTATCAGGATTAAGCTTATACATGATGGGAAACAGACAAGCGTTTTATTGATTGGGTAAATGCTTAAGATAAATCAAGAAAGAAAACTTAAGTGTGATTCAGCCTTTTGCTTGTATATCTAAGGAAATTAATGGCAGCGAGAAGATGGGCAAACAAAACAAAATACACTGCGAAGAAGAAAGAGATAAGACCACAAAACTGAAGAATAGAAGCCTCACTTTTAGGGGACAAATAAAAGTTGGGACTAGTCTTCAAAGCCGAGTCAAAACTGCTTCAGACATGCTCTGCTACTTCCAAGATAGACACAACATCCAAAATCAATGAACCAACTATGGAACTGTAAGAGATAAGCAATTTGGGCCTTCTATGCCAACAGAAGTTAACAAGCTAGTTGGATTACTAATATCATTAATGACATCAGTGATGAAGATATAAATACAGTAACTAAGGTGACAACTACAGATAGCTAGGTAGAGTTACTAAAATTAATGTAAGCAGAGAAAGTATGTGGGCACATCTAAAACTTGTCTGTGTGACATGGAAAGTTGGAAGTGATACCAGGTAAGCCAAAGAAATGGAGTCGAAAAATAGCTCACTCTACACAGTACTATTTGAGGAATAAAAAAAAACTAGAAGGAGTGAAGAATCAGTTAAGAATTAGGAGTTGAGTGCTTACACCCACAACGTCTCCCTCAGTGCGTAATTACCTAAAAAGTCTACATGGTAAAACTCCCAACCTCCACCTTTTTTTTTTTTTTTTTTTTTTTACAAAATGAGGTTAAATAGAACTAACAACCCTATCTTAATAGTGCTTAAACTCCCAACTTCCTCTCTCTTTTATTTACAAAATGATGTCAAACAGAACTAATAACCTTACTTTAATAGTTCTTAAACTCCCAACTTCCTCTCTCTTTTATTTACAAAATGATGTCAAACAGAACTAATAACCTTACTTTAATAGTTCTTAAACTCCCAACTTCCTTTCTCTTTTATTTATAAAATGATGTCAAACCGAACTAATAACCTTACTTTAATAGTTCTTAAACTCCCAACTTCCTCTCTCTTTTATTTACAAAATGATGTCAAACAGAACTAATAACCTTACTTTAATAGTTCTTAAACTCCCAACTTCCTCTCTTTTTCTTGAATGGGAAGATGTTGGGAGTTTAATTTTACATTACTTATAAATATATTGAAAGATAATGGTTATAACGATTGACATATAAAAAACTTTGTACACTTTTTTACAATAAACATGAAATTATTTCCAAAAGTAAATTCTCGACTATTGAAACTACCTTGTGGAAACTTTGAGGGCGTTAGTTACTCAAGGTTATCCTTGGCATATAAGTAACAAACTCTAAAAAATTCTTTTTTGACTTTTGTTCGGTATACCGGGTTGAAAAGACTAATTGCCATTATAGTATTAAAGCTCTATATGTATATTTAAATAAATATAGTTAAATACATGTTGAAATATATATATATATATATATTCTATTTACAAGGAAGAATTAAATATTGACACACTGAGTGAGTGAAACCCCTTTGCTCTAACTGACACATTATTTAGGGTCAACTATTTTAGTTGACTTGACTAGTATAAAATATCCACGTTTCATTATGGGGTTCAAACGCTCTTTCATGATTCACGGAGACCCCAGTGTATCGATCAAACGCCTCCATTATGTCCAATTATTTCTATAGCCATCCTAAAAGGGGCCGGTACCCGAAAAAAGAACCTCGTTAGGATACTCGCCCGTGGTACCTGGGCACGTTTGCCAAATGTGGTCCCGCTAGCTTGTGAGTGGGATTATTAATACAATTTCAGAAATGGCGCTCCCGGGATCCCGATAGTGGAGCAGGAACCCAAAATTCGATGCCAGATTCGAGTTCAGCGACCATGCAAACCTATTTCTAGACCCTGTCATGCCTAGTATTGTTGTATTCGTGTTGTATTCCCCTTGACACCCCAATAAATATGGGTAGGGGGCTACTCCATATAGATAAAGACACTGAGTTCGACGGCCATGTTTGGTTATGATAGCTCCAAAACTGCGGGAAGAGTTCATGGATAAACAAATTCACAAACACAGAGGACGTAAAATAATTTCAAATATTACGATACCAAAATCGTAATTCTCGTGCTAATATTGCATTCAGAAAGAATCCTTACAACCAATTTCATGTTGCATGTATATATATATATTAGTCATATTATTTGTATGTGAACTAAAAATAATGCTTTTTTTATCCATGTAAATACTTAGTCGTAAATTAACAGCTTTTGTCAGTATTTTTAATTGTATTTTTTTTTCCTACTCTAAATTACCCGTAAATTCTACTTCATTTGCATTTTATCTCAGAGTAGGTTCTAACGAGTTATTCACATAAATATTCCAATATGTTAAGCTGATTCCTGATAATCAATGGGATAAAAACATATGATAAAGCGTAGGGTATTGATGCTATAGATATTTCTACTTACAGAGTTGATAGTTTTGAGATATTTATACGTATAGGCATTCATCAGTTAATAATTTTACTTTTGGTAAACTCTGATTTTGAGTAGTTATCATTACTGAAGAAAATAAAGGAAAATAACTGTACCACAAACTTTATTTTATTTACATCGACATATTTACGAACATTTCAGGTCTCAGCCACGAGACTTTTCTCATCTTCTGAAACATTAGCGTTGCTGAATCAACTTGGCATACAACACAGCTCGACGTATGAGGGCGCAACAGAAGTGTCACGATCACTACGCGTTCCTCACGGCTGTACTGTTTAGTTTCAGTTCTTACGTTTGAAGTTAGGCTGAACGTTGATTCGAGCTCTGATTCAGGCTTCTTATCTATCAAAGTCTAACTCTGTGGTTACTAAATCATTATTGTACAAACGAGACATTATACCTAAGTTTGAGAATATTTCCCTACGCCACTCTACCTTTGTCACCAATCATTAACCGTATCTGCACCTAGTTACTGTTTTTGCCTTTTTTTTTCTCTCTGGTATCACGGTCTTAGTGGCATAAAAAGAAGAGCTACAGTGAAATATATATCAGAGCTTTGCATTAACCACTTACTACTATGGTAATGACTAGAAAAACTCAGTGACTGATCCTTAACGGCTGTAATTTACCAGTAGATAGAGAGAGAGAGAGTTCGAATACTAAGAAAACAGAGAGAAGAACAAACAAGAGAGCTACCCACTTAGATATAACCTGTTAGGGAGTGACTGTTACCAAATACTTATTGAAGAACATCCATGGTACACTTTTAAATTGACGTGAAAGGTAACTTTTCATTTATCTACTTTTTATTTTTGTGTTAGGAACGTGTTTTGATTGTACAACAGTGGCAATGTATGTTTATTCAATTGCTGTTGAAATACGAAGAGATATGACCATTTCAATGCTGCTAGCATTTACTAGAAGGAATAATTGAAGCTGGTGTTTTAATATATTTATGGAATAGTCTATGTTAGGCAAAACAGTTTTGTATTTTATAAGAATATTTGTTTGAAATTTTCATGTTAACGTATGAGAAAGATTTGTTTGTTTGAAGTTAAGCACAAAACTACATAATGAGCTATCGGGTATCGAAACCCGGTTTCTAGCTTTGTAAGTCCGTAGACATACCGCTGTGTCACAGGGGGCCATATGAGAAAGAACATTTACCTACAATATAATTAGCTCTTCTGATTCAAAGTCTGGAGTTTGGGACTATAAAACGTTCCCTTAAAGAATGATAATAACAACAAGTTGGACATTTTTTTTATTTTTACAAAATGGTGATCCAATTTTTTTTGGTTTCCTTCGAAACGGGCAAATCAGGCATACATAAGAAGAAAACCAACGTCTAAATTATTATATTCTATATATGATAAAGCTTTTGGCAACTGGCTTTACTTCAGAGTTCTAAAATGAAGTTTTTCAGAGTGTGGTTGGTTTTATTACTGTTTTGTTTGCTTATGTGTGTGAATATCATTATGAAGTTGTGAAAACATTGAACTTCTCAGGCAAGGCAAGAGTTTTATCTTTTCTTTATCTAGAATCTGTTACTTAAACAAATTACAAGTGAAATATGCTTAGTAACAAATATTTAAAATTCTTTAAACATTTATCTGGACTCAATTGATTTGTAGTTCATTGTTAAGCATAAAGCTACACAATGGGCTGTATGTGCTTTACTCACCGTGGATATCGAAACTCGATTTTTAATGTTATAAACCCTCGGACTTATCGCTAAGCTATAGGGAGCATTTGTAGTTCGAAGTAAAATAAGCTATTTAAGTAAATAACGACGATTAATCAAAACGTCAAGTATTTACATAAGGTTATAATAATTATATTAATATCTCTTAGTTAAGTGTGTGGAAACCTTATAAAGACACCACATCTGTTTCTACTACCCCCCAGTGGCACAGCGATAAGTGTGAGGGCTTATACCGCTAAAAATCGGGTTTTGATGCTCGTGGTGAATACAGTACAGAAAACTCCTTGTGTAGCATTGCGCTTAACAACAAAAAACAAACAACCAAATTTCATTTATTTTCACAGTATGCATAGAAACAATAGTGAAAATTTATGGATAGTTACTTTTAATTGTGTCTTGTTAGATGAAGGAGAGCTATTCTGACTAACTGAATTCTCTTCAATATATAACAAGTACATGGAATCAGACGAACAATCAGATGTAAGCCAGACAAAGAGCGGGCAGAGACTGTAACATCTGCTTACATGCACGCTACTGATGCATTACTCTACCGCATACGTATTGAAATTAACCAGAAATCGTTTCACTTTATATGTTTTGTTTAATTTCGCTCAAAGCTACTCGAAGACTGCCTGCGCTAGAAGTGATGAACTAGAGGGAAAGTAGCTAGCCAACACAACCCAACTCTTGGGCTACTCTTTATCAACGACAAGTGGGATTCACCGTCACATTATAACACTCCTACGGCTAATAGGGCATGTTCGGTGAGGGGATTTGAACCCGCAACTCGCAAATTGTGAGTCAAGCGCCCTAACCACCAGGCCATGCTTGGCCCCATCTTTGGAAAATGTATTGCCTATACATTTTTATTCTATATTTCTCTACTCCATTTTAGCAACTATCTGTTTTGTAATAAACAGATTTATAAGACTTCTTAGGTAATTTATATTTAAATTAAGCTGAATTAATATCAGTGCTCACTAACGTAAAGAAATTGTGGACTTGCTTCCCAAAAGTTGAGCGGGAATAGAACATGCTAGGCGTTCGGACATCATAAGTGAACAATTCTATGAGATCACAGGGATGTACTCTGTACAGCGTATCAGCTGTAGTTGAGGGAATATCCCTAAACTAGTATTAACACACTAGAGCGTTGCCGTATTTGTTATTGTGGGTTTATTTTCATTGAAGTTCATGAAATTTGTCATCATTGTCAAACGATGTACCTTAAATAACAAATTGATTTGAGACGTATTGCCTGTTGTTTTCTTAGTCTTCGTTTTATGATTCTGGTGCAAATAGGGAGTGTATTTTGGGAAGAATAACTCGCTTGGAAGTTAATTGAAGCACAAGCTAGGGTGAGGATTTGTCCAGTGGATAATCTTATAGTAACTTTGGTGAGAAATAGTTAAAACACGATATTTCTCTACATATATCAAATACAAATGTTCTGTTAGAATGACATTTTCAATATCTTATTGTTTTTTTTTTATTTATCTGTGACGTGGAAAACATTCCCAGACACGTTTTGAGGATTGATGGAATTCTGGGAGAAATATAAATAGTTTATCCTGTTATAAAATAAAATTAATTTTTCAAGAAAATTCCTATTCTTCTTCTCTTTTGCTTTAAACATTGAGCCCCCTAGTGGCGCAATGGTATGTCTGCGGACTTGTACCGCTAGAAACCGGGTTCGATACCTGTGGTGGGCAGAGCACAGATAGTCCTTTGTGTAACTTTGTGCTTAATAATAAACACCAACAAGCTTGAAGCAATAAAATCTTAATGTTAGTTGCTAATGTATAAGATATAAAATGTTATACTGAGCTAATATATACTAATACGTTGTCATGAATACGAAACCAAAATCTGATCTTAAACAAGTGGTCTGCCATTTAGTATTGTAAACTGAATTGTTCTTGTCTTTGCAATATAAGCTATTATGTGGTGCCTTCTTTCAGAAGCATGACAACCATAACGTGGATGTCGTTATAAGTCACAAAATATTTAAGCCTTTATTATTTTCTACGAAAAACGGGTAGGTATAATATGTTATAAGATTTAGAATATTATAGATGGCGGAGCATGACTAAAGTAGTGTGTAATGCCATTTCAACAATACCTTGTTTGTTATGTATCGGCAACGGCCAGTGAAGAGTAATGTGGTACAAGTGATTATGTTTTATCTCATTATGTGTCACATACATGTTACATCAATATATTTCATTTCTGTTTCACAATGAGTTTTCCGAGTTGATTGACCAAAACTAAACTATGCTTATATTTGAAGATGAAAAGTTTTTATATATTCTTTGATATTTATTTGAGTTCACGTAGAGTATTTCCTTGATGTTTTGCCATTCTTCACTGACGGGTCTATTAATAATTTGGAATCGTTTATTTTCGAATAGACAAATTACTTTCTTCATACACATTACGGTAAGTGTGTGATATGCTGCTCGGACATTTTGATAATCAGGAAAATGTTTAGAAAGATATTACACGTAATATATGTTTTTCTCTATTAGAAAAATTAACGTGAATTGTGTCGAATTTATAATGAATTATTACTTCAGTAAGGTTTTCAGACGCTTTACTATGTTCTCCTTCTGTATAGACGGGCCTGGCATGGCTAGGTGGTTAGGGCGGTCGACTCACCAAACATGCTCACCCTTTCAGCTATGGGGGCGTTATAATGTGACGGTCAATCCCAATATTCGTTAGTAAAAGAGTAGCCCAAGATTGGCGGTGGGTGGTGATGACTAGCTGCTTTCCATTTAGTCTTTCACTGCTAAATTAGAGACGGCTAGCGCAGATAGCCCTCGTGTAGCTTTGCGCGAAATTCAAAACAAACAAACAAACTGTATACATGTGTCTTGGTATTCAGCACTTTTTACCTCTAGAAAGATACTACGACTTTATTATCTTCTTAGATTTGATTTCCCGTAGTGGTTGGTTGGTTGATTGTTGTTTTATGGCGCAAAGCAGCAAGGCTATCTGCGCCACCCGTAGTGGTTAGAGCGCAAATATCCCTTTGTGTAGCTTTGCGTTAAAAACCAACAACTTCGTAAGACATAAATGTATCGAGATTCTTAATTACTCTTCTATTACGCTATGAAAATATTTAATGTTTTAAAAGGTTTTCTGGCAGTTCATACATTATTTTATGCTGTAGAAACGTTTAATGCGTGCTTTCTCATCTTTAGAAATAGTATGGCGTTTAACATTCTCCTAAAAACGTGCTCTGAAAGTTAGTGATCGTCTACGAAAAATGTCAAGTGCTTTTTTTTCCTGCGAATCAGACACTCCCAATATTTTGTAATCGGCTGCAGCAGAAATGTGTTCTGACATTCAATGTTCATCTACCTTAAAGGATATTCTAAGATAAGCATCTTTTATCAGTTCGAATTTTAGTATTTTAGATTCTATGTGGGAAAAAATATATTAACATTTCGTACAACAACTAATAGTTTACACCAAAAACGAAAAAGTATATTGTTTAAAATAGGAGAATATGCCAGGTGTCACTTTTACAGAAACAATAGGTTTCGTAATTCAGAAACGGAGATAAGCTAAGTAAAATCTTCGTTCTGATCCTACTTATCACCTACTATATGTAGATTTATAGTTTTTACAGATTTGTAACCAGGGGAACAATAATATCCAGAAGAAAGACATTGCCATATTTGTAATGTTTTTAAAGATAACTATGTAATCTATCTTAGAATGAATAACTTTAAACAGTACTTATAAATGTACACAACTTTGAAATTTATGGCTTATCTGGACAAGTTGATTTTATGTACCTGTACAATTTCTGTCTGTTGAGTTGTCAGAAAATTGTTATTAATTAGACTGGCGCAGAGGTAAAAGTAGAAGTAACGGTGACATTTGCAGCCAATCATCGACAAGCGTAAAACAAATTGATTATCTCTCTGTTTATAACGTGAATTTTAAATTAATTTATATAAATATGGCACACTTTAAAATTCAAACTTACAATTTTTATCATTGTTGTTGACAAAATAAGGTACGTCAATTTCTGATTTCGTTAGTACTTATAAAAGAATTATATGGC